GGGAGTGAAGCACGGAGAGGACGGAGTTGGAGCAGAAGCTGTGCTGGTGGAGTAAGTTGTTATGAATGCAGCCAACGACCAGGCGCTGCTAGTCCAGTGACACGTATGGGCCACTTCTTCTGTGAGGAACATTATTTTTGAATTATATAGTCTAAATTCTTATTAGAAAAGCTATATATATATTTTGTTACCATGGCTCAAAACATCTTCCTTATTCTTATTAACAGTTTTTATTTGTTTTTGTTGATTTCTATGGAACTTTTCAGTTACACTATCTCACAATCCTATCTAATAAAGAGGGAATATGCAAATTGACCACCACACTGACACAAAAGATAGCGGCGCCCAGTCCCCTCAGCCCTGCTTGGGGGGGAGTGGCAGGTCCACAGTGTGGCTGGACCTGCCTTCAGCCCCCCAGCCGCCCAGGGCCAGCCCGAGGCACAGGCAATCCTCCCATGTTGGCTGCCCAGCAGACGCCTGAGGCCGCCCGAGGCTTAGTTAACTAGGGTCGGCTGTGCTTGCCCTGCCGGCAGTGGCTGCAGCAGAGGTGTGATGGGGGCATCGCCTTCCCCTGATTGCTGGGTTACCTCCCACCTCTGAGGGCTCCCAGACTATGAGAGGGGGCAGGCCAGGCTGAAGGACCCCCCTCCAGTGCATGGATTTTCATGCACCGAGTCTCTAGTTTGTAAATAACGGTGGTGGGCAGCTCCCTGGTTTAAATATTTATACATGCCAGAGTGTCTTGCAACAGATGAACAGCCGGGGCTACCAAGGAACTTGGAGAGCGGCTGCGTGCTTAATAGCCTCACAAAACCCCCGAGACACACGTGTGCTTCCTGGGATGCTGTGCGCAGACCCTCACCTCCCTTTGGGGGGCAGATTGAGGCTCCGAGGGGCCCCAGGCCCTGGTCTGAAGAGCTGGCCCGGAGCTGGGGGGGTCCTTTTTTTGCACTAAAAGAACTCCAGGCATTGGAGAGTTTTCTTCCTTTTCTTGGCTTCAGGATGACTCTAGTTAGGCTGCATCCTTTCACGTACACCCAAGCCTGGGCACTGAAACCCCGCCGAGTGCTCCTGCTGCCTCCTCACACCACAAAGGGGCTCACTGTCCGGTCCTCATCAGCCCCAAGGAGGCTGAGCAGCTTCCCTAGGCCACGCGGTCTCTAGGCAGCACCCCGGACACGCCCAGCACCGCCTTCAACCCCCGCTCCCAAGGACAGAGTGGCTTTCCGTGTGGAGTTTCATCTCCCTGTGCAGGTGTGCCCATCCCAGAGGCGAGGAAGCTGCAGGGAGACAGAGCTTCGTCCTCCTACGTGACCAAGGAGAAAGTGGGCTTCATTTCTGTTCCCAGACGGAGGGAAGCACTCAGGTGAGCACACCTGGCACTGATCCCAGTATCATCAGATCCCCTGCGCCGCCGCCAGGAATTACGGGAAACTCCTGCTGTAAAGAAAGCTTCCTCTCTGATAAGAAAACAGTATTGCCTGATGATACTAGTTTTTATTTATGTCAAGATTGTCTTTTTTTAACCTAAAAATGATACATATAGAATTTGAGTAAAGAACAGTCCTGGGACCTCTGGGCAGGGACTGACCCGCGAGCAGCATGGAGCACTGTCCATATTGGCATCAGGTCAGTGCTGCATCCACAGGAGACGCTGGGTTCAATTAAAGGGCGTGGCCAGCCATCCGCTCGAGCCCTGTGGAACCCGGTGAACCAGCCCTGCCCTGGGGTGCCTGCACTGCCGTCGATGGACACACTGTGGTGAGAGACACTGAGAGAACAGGAAGTAGGGCGTGCTGGCTGATGCAGACAGTGAACAGCAAAATCTCGCGAAGAGGCTCTGGCTGAAGAGTCCTGGGAGAGGTTGGGACAGACGCGTGAGGAGGGAGCTGAGGACAGAGCCAGCGAGCTTTCTCACTAGAGACATGGAAACCAGAGCAGGGTGAGGGCTGAGGAGATAATGTGGCTTCTAATCTGTGCTGAGAATTTATAGTTAAAAAAAGTAAAAAAATCAAGCTACACTAGAAAGAGTGACATCAAATAGTGGGTGACCCTAAAATATCAAAGGGACCCTGAATCAGGAGCAAACGGTGAGCAGTCAGGCTGCGTCTGCGGAAGGTAGGGAGCCGGGCGGCCAAGGGTCCAGGAGGAAGACCAGGTTTGGGGGCATGACACTCATTGGAGGTCAAGGTCGTTGGGCCTGTGTGGGTACCAGGGAGCAATCAGACCAGAGTCAGCGACACAGGAAACAGAACCTGGGGCTCCATCCTGGCAGGCGTTCCCATCCTCAGTGGACGTGGGACCATCCACGCAGAAAACCAGACGTGGGCTAGGAGCAGCAGGGCTGGCTGGGGCTGTATGCACCGCATCGCCAGGCCCAAGCCCCCACAGTAGGGGCTCAGTGCAGATTTCCTGCACGCTCACTGGCTGAAGTAGACTGTGAAGCTCACCTTTCTCTGGAAACTGCCTTTACCTCTTTTTGGTGGTGAGCCTGAGTGTGAGAAACACAGTCTAGAATCAGGAGACCCGTGATCAACGACTGCTTACAAACCTGGTCATGGGGTAGAGGACAGCTTTTCTGATTCTGTTTTCTCATTTGTAAGACAGAGACTAGCATCCATCTTGCATTTTTATTCCAAGTTTTTGAGATTAAAATGCCCAGCATACACCCAGGCACATGTGAATGACCCAGAGTCCACGGGGCCTGTGAGCTAAGAGGGGGTCTCCCCAGGCACGCTCTCTTCCCTTTGATCAAATCTTCCGCATTTCTGAGTGTGTCATTGGTTACTTTGTGCTGCCAATACCACATCTATATTTTCTCCCTCAGCACACGGACTTCCCAGTACACCAAACGCTAGTCTCCTTATCATGCCCAGGAAATTAGACTCCGCGTAGCCAGTGTGGCCTGTTTCTCCTGATCCTACAAGAACTGAAGCTCCCAACTGCCTCGCTCCCACAGCACGAGCTCCCGGCAGGGCCATGGTGCCCGGGACGCTCTGGCACATGCTGCTGCTCGTGGGAACTGGGGGATGAGTTCAGAAATTATGAAATTACGTGACAAATCCATCGGCAGGTGGAGCGTAAAAGACTGGAACGCCTGCCAGAAGTTATCTTCAACAGAAGTAATTCTTAGAAAAAAGCAGAGACCAGTGGAACCAGAAGTTAACTTCCGGGAGAGGCTAGAACAGCCGTGGGCAAACTACGGCCCGCGGGCTGGATCCGGCCCGTTTGAAATGAATAAAACTAAAAAAAAAAAAAAAAGACCGTACCCTTTTATGTAATGATGTTTACTTTGAATTTATATTAGTTCACACAAACACTCCATCCGGCCCTCCAGTCCAGTTTAAAAACCCATTGTGGCCCTCGAGTCAAAAAGTTTGCCCACCCCTGGGCTAGAAGCTCTTTCCTGTAGAGCAGGTCGCCAACCCGTGGTCTGCGCACCACTGGTGTCCGTGAGGTCGGAAAGGCTGGCGACCGCTGCTATAGAGTTTTGATGAAGTTAACGGGGAGCAGGGGAGGGGGGGGGGGTCGAGAAGAATTCAAACACGGGTGATTCTCATACACCTGTCTTGCTAACGGAAATAACGGCTCCTGCGTGCTCCCCGAGAGGTGGCCCAGCGACCTTCCATTCCCCGGATCCTGGACCAGCACCTCGTCAGGGGCTCACTCCTCACTCGGCTCCCAGTGAGCAGAGCAGGGAGTCGGCGAGAAGGAGCGTCAGACATGAAGACCCGCGTCGCCTCCGAGAGTGCGGTCTAAGGGCTCTAACAGGGGCTCAGAGCCCAGACTCCGTGCCGTCGCCGTGAGGTGGGCACGTCGGTCACACACTACGACACCAGGGGGTGACGACCGGAGTTCAAACTCAGCCAAAAGGGCGGAAGCAGAATCCCTCGCTTGTCATCGGGCAACTTGCAGGATAAACAGAAATGACCTCATAAGCTTTTTACTGGACTCCTTGCATCGTAATTCATTAATCTGCTTAAAGCGGGCGGGAGACAGCTGCTGGAGCGCTGCAGGACCTTCCAGAACGCGGGAATCTGCCCCGGGGCGGCAGGGTGCACAGTCCACCAATCACACCCTCGCACCAGGAAGGGAGCAGAGCGCTCTGTCTGTAAACATTACATGAAATCTGTCTTTCTACGTACAGCCCCTGGCAGATAGGAAACCCTGCATAAGTCGGAAAATATTTCACTATTTATTGATTTGTGAGCACCAAAAATGAGGGCACATTATTTTTAAATGGATGCTATTGGTAAAAATGTGGCACTTTTAATACTCTAATGCTAACGTAAAACATGTTTTTCATTAATCTTTAAGATCAGTTTACAAATATTGAGGGAGAAAATGACTTTTCAGTATTATTCTATATTCACATTTCAATATTATGTGACTTCCTTTACTACATTGTGTATTAGTGTGATTGAGAACCGATGGCATTAAAAAGCACATTTATCAAAATGTAGAATCTGTTTTAGCTTCTAACCTTTAAGAGATAATGTGGACTAGGTAAGCACAGACGCCTGACTCGAGAACACATCAGTGTGTGTGTGTGTGTGTGTGTGTGTGTGTGTGTGTGTGAAATGAGAGGGACGCCTCGTAGAGAACAATCAGCTCACAGGCCTCAGGAGACCAGGTCAGTGCTCTCCTGGACACCACGACAGGGATCTCCTCCAGACGGGCCTGCACTGGCGCCTCCGGGACCTCACCGGCAGCTCCTCGCGGGGTGTCCACTGGGCTGGCCGTCTGTTCCCAGGGCGGCATTTCCTCACCCTCACCTCCCAGCACCTCGGCAGCTCCGGTGAGTGCGCCCGGCAATAGGTGGTGCCGTGTCTTTGCTAGACACTGACGCCCATGGGTGCCTTTAGTTTTTAAGACGCTTTTGTGAACCTTCTGATTGTGAGCCGTCTGGGAAGGTGGCGTTAGAAGGCACGAGGACTGATTTTCGAAAGCTACACCGTGGACCCTTCAACTGCCCGTGAAATGAGAAACCCAGCTCCTACCTTGAACACAAACATCTCCCGGCGGAGGACGGCCAGCGTGTTGAAGTTGCCTTCGCAGATGCTGGGCTTGGCCCCGGGGTAGGCAGGCCGGCCGGTGGGCGGCCGCGGCGGCTTGGGTCTGTCGTTCCTGCGGGGGTCAGCTGGGGGCACGGAGCGGTGCGGGGGTGCTGTGGGCAGAGGTCTGGTCGGTGGGGGGGTCTTGTCCGGCGGACCTGAGGGAACAGGAGGACAGCACTGGCTCATTTAAAGCTGGGGGTCTGGACAACGTGCCCCGAGAGACCGCCGTCCGCAGAGGCACATGCAAGGGGCCTTTACATCGTGCATTTCTTAGAAGCAAACTGTCTGACCCAACGCACCATGACCGCGTCGCTCGGAAACCGGGTGCACAGGCTCCCTCGGGGCCCAGCAGCCAGGCTTTCCTTCGTTAACCTTTAACGACAGTTTTCAGAGCTTCGCCACAGGTCTCTGTGGAAAAGCTGTTTTCAAATCCCTCTTGGAAGAAGGTGGTATATAAATAATAAATAAATGAAAATGAATACTGGAACCTCACATGTAAGCGCCACCAATGTTTATCCTAGGTTTCCAGGGACAATGATTCTATGCAAATATTTCTAAAACATAAACATTAACGAATTAGTGCTATGTCTCCAATTATAGTTTATAATCTTTTCCTGACTCTTACCATTCCCTTCTCAGGAAATGCTTGGACCAATTGCTAGAACAGTTTCATGTGAATACAGAATCGGAAACTCCCTCTGATTAAGGCACCACCAGGAACATCAATGCAGAAGGGTTTCTAAAGAGAGGGCTCTGAATCCAGCCAAAGTTTACACATGGAATTTGGTGCAGATGCAAATCATCATTCCTCGAGGGATTTGTGTTTCTACAAAGAAGCAGTGACAGAGAGATTAAAAATGGTGCCCTAGCTGGTTTGGCTTAGTGGATAGAGAGAGCATTGGCCTACAAACTGAAGGGTCCCAGATTTGATTCTGGTCAAGGGCACATGCCTGGGTTGCAGGCCCGATCCCCAATAGAGGGTGTGCAGGAGACAGCTGATCAATGATTCTCTCTCATCATTGATGTTTCTTTTTCTATTATTATGATGATGATGATGAAAAACATATAAAATACAATATTCCATCTCCCCCCCCACCCATTGTAGTTCACATTCAATATTATCCTGTATTAGTTTCAGGTGCACAACACTGTGGTCAGACAATCATATACTCTACAGAGCAGTGCCCTGATAGTGCAAATACCCCCTGGCACGTACTTAGCTATTACAATGTTATTTTTTTCCTCCATTCACCTCTCTCCTGCCACTCCCACCCCCAGCAAATGCCCTCACCCCCTAGTGACTCTAGGGACTATGCCCATGGGTAATGCTCATACGCCTGCATACAAGTCCTTTGGTTGATCTCTTACCCTCACCCCACGCCTTCCCTCATAGTTTGGACAGTCTATTCCATGCTTCTCTGTCTCTGGCTCTATTTTTGTTCATCGGTTTATGTTGTTCATTATATTCCACAAATGAGTGAGATCATGTGGTATTTATCTTTCTCTAATTGGCTTATTTCACTTAGCATAACACTCTCCAGGTCCATCCATGATGTTGCAAATGGTAAGAATTCCTTCTTTTTTGCAGCAGCGTAGTGTTCAATTATGTAGATGTACCACAGTTTTTTAATTCACTCATCTGCTGATGGGCACTTAGGCTGTTTCCAAATCTTAGCTATGGTGAATTGTGCTGCTATGAACATAGGGGTGCATATATCCTTTTTGATTGGTGTTTCTAGTTTCTTGGGATATATTCCTAGAAGTGGGATCACTGGGTCAAATGGGAGTTCCATTTTTAATTTTTTGAGGAAACTCCCTACTGTTTTCCACAGTGGCTGCAACAGTCTGCATTCCACCAGCAGTGCACGAGAGTTCCTTTTTCTCCACATCCTTGCCAGCACTTGTCCTTTGCTGATTTGTTGATGATAGCCATTCTGACAGGTGTGAGATGGTACCTCATGGTCATTTCAATTTGCATCTCTCAGATGATTAGTGACTTTGAGCATGTTTTCATATGCCTCTTGGCCTTCTGTATGTCTTTTGGAAAGTATCTATTTAGGTCCTTTGCCCATTTTTTTTTGATTAGGTTGTTTATCTTCCTCTGGTTAAGTTATATGAGCTCCCTATAAATTTTGGAGATTAGACTCTCATCTGAGATAACATTGGCAAATATGTTCTCCCATGCAGTGGGCTTTCTTGTTGTTTTGTTGATGGTTTCTTTTGATGGTTTTCTTTTGTCCCATTTGTTTATTTTCTCTTTAATTTCCATTGCCCTAGGAGCTGTATGGGTAAAGATATTGCTACAACAAATGTCTGATATTTTGCTGCCTGTGGTTTTCTCTAAGGTTTTTATGGTTCCCTGTCTTACGTTTAAGTCCTTTATCCATTTTGAGTTTATTTTTGTCTATGGTGTAAGTTGGTGACCTAGTTTCATTTTTTTTGCATAAATCTGTCCAATTTTCCCAACACCATTTATTGAACAGACTGTCTTGACTCCATTTTATGCTCTTGCCTCCTTTGTCAAATATTAATTGAGCATAATGGCTTGGGTTGATTTCTGGGTTCTCTGTTCTGTTCCATTGGTCTATATGTCTGTTCTTGTGCCAGTACCAGGCAGTTTTGAGAACCGTGGCTTGGTAATACAGCTTGATATCTGGTATTATGATCCCTCCAACTTTGTTCTTCTTTCTCAGGATTGTTGTGGCTATTCGGGGTCTCTTTTATTCCAGATTAATTTTTGGAGAGTTTGTTCTAGGTCTGTGAAATATGCTGTTGGTATCTTAATGTGGATTGCATTGAATTTATAGATTGCTTTGGGTAGTATGGACATTGTAATGATGTTGATTCTTCCAATTCATGAACACAGTGTATTCTTCCATTTGTTTATGTCCTCCTATATTTCTTTTTAAAGCATCCTGTAGTTTTCCGAGTACAGGTCTTTTACCTCCTTAGTTAACTTTATTCCTAGAATCTTAATTTTTTTGTTGCAATGGTAAATGGGATTGCTTTTTAAATTTCTCTTTCTGTAAGTTCATTATTGATGTATAAAAAAGCAATAGATTTCTGGGTGTTAATTTTGTATCCTACTACATTACTGAATTCATTTATTAAGTCTAATAGTTTTTTGATGGAGTCTTTAGGGTTTTCTATGTACAATATCATGTCATCTGTGAATAATGACAGTTTTACTTCTTCTTTTCCAATTTGGATGCCTTTTATTTCTTCTTCTTGTCTAATTGCTTTGGCTAGCACTTCCAGTATTATGTCAAACAGGAGTGGTGAGAGTGGGGATCCTTGTTTTGTTCCTGTTCTTAGAGGAAATGGTTTTAGTTTTTGTCTATTTAGTATAATGTAGGCTGTAGGTCTGCCATATAAGGCTTTTATTATGTTAAGGTATAACCCCTCTATTCCCACTTTGCTGAGGGTTATCAAGAAAGGATGTTGGATTTTGTCAAATGCTTTTTTTGCATCAATTGATATGACTATGTGATGTTTATTTCTCAATTTATTTATGTGATGTATCATGTTTATTGATTTACGAATATTGTACCATCTTTGCATCCCCAGAATAAGTCCCACTTGGTCATGGTGTATGATCTTCCTAATGTATTGCTGGATCTGATTTGCTAGGACTTTGTTAGGACATCTATGTTCATCAGGGATATTGACCTGTAATTCTCTTTCTTTGTGGTGTCTTTATCTGGCTTTTGGATTAGGATAATGCTGGCTTCATAGAAAGAGCTGGGAAGTGTTCCTTCCTCTTGAATTTTTTGGAATAGTCTGAGAAGGATAGGTTTTAGTTCTTCTTTGAATTTGGTAAAACTCCCCTGTGAAGCCATCTGGTCCAGTGCTTTTGTTTGCTGGAAGTTGGGTTTTTTGTTTGTTTGTTTTTGTTTTTTTGTTTTTTTATTACTGCTTCAATTTCCTCCATAGTTATTGGCCTATTCAGACTTTTTGATTCTTCCTGATTGAGTTTTGGAAGGTCATATATTTCTAGGAATATGTCCATTTCTTCTAGGTTATCCAGTTTGTTGAAATAGAGTTTTTCATAGTATTTTTTAAACAATCCTTTGTATTTCTGAGGGGTCTGTTGTTATTTTGCCTCTTTCATTTCTGATTTTGTTTATTTGGGTCCTCTCTCTTTACTTCTTGGTGACCCTGGGTAAGATTCATCAATCTTGTTTATCCTTTCAAAGAACCAGCTCTTGGTTTCATTGATCTTTTATATTGTTTATTTTGGACTCTATGTTATTTATTTCCACTCTGATCTTTATTATTTCCTTCCTTCTGCTCACTCTGGGCTTTTCTTGCTGCTCTATTTCTAATTCTTTAAGTTGTAGGGTTAGGTAATTTATTACAAATTTTTCTTGTTTTTTAGATAGTCCTGTTTTTTAGATAGGACTCTCAGGACTGCTTTCACTGTGTCCCATAGATTTTGGATTTTTGTGTTTTCATTGTCATTCGTTTCCAGGATGTTTTTAATTTCTTCTTTGATCTCTTTGGTAACCCAATCATTGTTTAATAGTATGATATTTAGCCTCCAAGTGTTTGAATTTTTTTATTGTTTTTATTGTAGTTGATTTCTAATATTATGTCATTGTGGTTTGAGAAGATGCTTGATATGATTTCAATCTTCTTGAATTGGGAGAGACTTTGCCTGTGTCTCAATATGTGGTCTATTTTTGAGAATGTCCCATGTGCACTTGAGAAGAATGTATATTCTGTAGCTTGTGTGTGAAATGTTCTGAAGATGTCAATTAAGACCATCTGATCTAGTGAGTCATTTAGGATTGCTGTTTATTTGATGATTTTTTGTCTAGAGAATTTATCCAGTGATGTCAATGGGGTACTAAAGTCCCCTACTATGATTGTATTGCTGTTAATCTCTCCTTTGATACCCTCCAGAAGTTTTTTATGTATTTGGGTGATCCTACATTTGGAGCATATATGTTTATCAGAGTTATATCCTCTTGTTGTAGCGATCCTTTTAGTATTATGAAGTGGCCTTCCTTTTCTCTTGTTATGGCCCTCACTTTGAGGCCTATTTTGTGAGATATAAGTATTGCTACCCCAGCTTTTTTTTCATTTCCATTTGCCTGAAATATATTTTTCTATTCCTTCACTTTCAGTCTGTGTGAGTCCCTTGTTCTGATTT